ATTACGGGTGCAACAACGGAATGTCTAGGTGTTATACACACACACGAATACAAAGCTGAAAATTAATGAACTACAGCTAAAATACTATGTTCATTTTTCCACATAGTCTAATCCTTCCCCTGCCCACCTTCCTAATATTTTCCAGTCTTCAGATAGTAGCTGGAAGTGGGGAGGCAGAAAAAGTTCCTCCTTTCCTGCCACTCTGCAGTTTTAATCTTAGGTGCAGTACTGCACCCAGAGGTCAAAAACTGCTCACACTAATGAAATTCCCTGTCGCAAAATGCACCTAAAACAATGGGAGTTTCAAACACTGGCCTCAAGGTTACCATCACATGGACTACAGTGGCCAGGCTATGCCTGTATAGCAGTCATTGGTGAACTAGACAAAGCTGGTAAAAGCAAGTCCTAGCCCAGAGCTTTGCAAACTGTGTGTTGTGACATGTTAGTGTGTTAGCTGCAGTGTGTAGGTATGTTGCGTGAATGCTCCCCGCGCTCTTCCTGGGGCTGCAAAGGGGTTAGTTTAACCTCCGGTTTGCTAGTAAAACTGAATTACTGTGACATGAAATGATGCATGGCTAAACAGTATGTCACCAACATGAAAAGTTTGGAAAGCTCTGTCCTAGCCGCAGAGAACACTGTTGTATCCAGGAGTACCCCTAAGCTACTTGCTCCTTCAGAGGAAGAGCATCCCCATCCAGAACCAGTAATTTGCCCATCCCCTCAGACATGGAACTACCCACCCAAAGAATCCCCATCTTTCCAGGAGTCAAGCATTATTTATTTGCCCTCATTCAGCCCAGCACTGCTTTCAAACACCACTGAGATGAGCAACTTTACAAGGTAGTCTAAACTTTTCCCAGCAGTTCCCAAGCACTCCCTTTGCAAAGTTAACTGAAGACATTTTTAAAACCATATAAGCAATAATGGACTGGACTGTCTCTTAGGTTTATAAGCTAGTAGCTGGCCTGCCAACAATTCTTAAGCTGCCGTTCTTGGTTTTTCTGTACAGATAGAAGGCAGTACTTTTGTACCCATCCATATATTTGGAGCACACTTCATGGCTGCCTCAGGAGCTCACAACCCAGACTGGGCCTATGGCATTTTTCAAAAAAATACTGTTTTCAGGTAGTTAACTTGCTCCCAAGCCTCAGAACATACTGTAGTTATTTTGTTCATTACAGTAGTTCCCCATGAAAGAACGGATTGATTTTCAAATTCTGTTTCTGACCTGTGTGACCTTGCAGTGGTCAAGTTCCTGTAGACTTGAATAATCACTGTTCCCTACCTGTCCAGCAGGAGCAAGTTACTTTTAATCATTTGCTATTATGTCTGAACACTAAGAGAATACAAAATCTTTACACAGGATGCACTACAACTCTAGAACTCTGATTGTTTCTCAAATAAAAATGATCCTTATACAAAAGAATCCATTAGTTTGTACAGATGGGTAGGACCAACACATTCTAATTGTTTTGATCACATTCTTATACTAATACAGATTTCATAATTGTTTTCATTTAATATTTTTGTCATTAATGATATTTCTGCAACTAACCTCCTGGGATGTGCAGTATTAGAGAAAATAACTCATAAATCCCATAAAGGCAGTATGTTGTGGAGCATGAACAGCTACTGTGGGATAAAAACAGCTCTGAGTACTGAAATTATGTGCAGTGTGCTTTGGAGATAGAAACCTGCTAGTTCTTTAAAGCAAGGGTTAGAAAACCTGTACATTGCCAGACAAGAAAAAAAAGTAATGACCATATCTTTAATCTCAGAAACCGTTATGGTATCCCAGTAATGCTACACATAACTGTAACATTGGCTGAGATGTATGCTAAACCATTTTAACAGAGATATGGCAGAAAGCTAGCCTATTAAATTTAAATCTATTATAGGGCAGCTAATTGAATATTTTGGCTGATTGTGTGTGTTGGCTTTGGAGAACTGCCACTGATATAATTAAAATGCCCTCCTGGTATGCACTCTGCTTTTTTCCAAGCCAGCATACAGTGGTGCCTCGCAAGACAAAATTAATTCGTTCCGCGAGTTTTTTCGTCTTGCGGTTTTTTTTGTCTTGCGAAGCACAGTGTCGGAAAAGCTTTGGAAAAGCTTCAAAAATCACCAAAGTCCTCAAAAACCTCAAAAAAGGCTACCACACCGCGTGCTATGAGTTGCTCCTCGAAGTCAAGTTGCAACTGTATTAACGGTTTTAAGAAAAAGGAAACAAACTTGCAAGACCTTTCCGTCTTGCGAAGCAAGCCCATAGGGAAAATCGTCTTGTGAAGCAACTCAAAAAACCAAAAACCCTTTCGTTTTGCGAGTTTTCTGTCTTGCGAGGTACCACTGTACAGTATTTCCTCATTTCCATCATTTACTGGTTAACAGGTTTTGTTTTGTTTTAAAGACAGTTGGTGGTTCTTAAAATGTATCCATATCAGAAATTATTTGGTTGCAAATGTGACATTTACACCTCTGCCATTGTTAAAAAAGTGTTTCGGTTTGTGGAATTTGGTAGCTTCCAATTACAGTATGAGGGTTTTTTTCACTCCTGGCCCACCAAAGTGCAAGATGGAGAATATTTCAGAACACTTATGGGCACTTCTTTACTGGGCTGGCCTTTGACATTCAGTGTTAATTTGGAATGAGTAGGGGGAAATGGATGGGGAACTCATATGTGCAAGCGTGTGAAGGAGATGTTTTGGATCAGGCCTTTGGTATCAGTGGACAATATACTTAAATTAAATAGAGAGAGGAGTGAGAACACAGAACAGCCTGGAGAAATCTAGCTCCCAGGGTTCCAGCTGAGATGACTTTTTGTTACCCAACTGCCACCACAGGATTATCAAAAGCTAGATTGCCCAGAGGAAATAAGAAAGGTTCCCAATTGCAGAGCCACCACCAAAAAGGCTCTGTACTTGGCAACGTAACCAACTTCACTAGCAGGAACACAAACCAGACCTCAGACCTGGATCTTAGATTATGACCATGGTTAATTGCAGCAAGGTAAGGTAAAAAGGTAAAAGACGCCTGGATGATTAAGTCCAGTCAAAGGCAACTATGGGGTTGCGGTGCTCATTTCGCGTTCAGGCCGAAGGAGCTGGCATTTGTCCAGACAGCTTTCCAGGTCATGTGGCCAGCATGACTACACCGCTTCTGGCACAACAGAACACCGTGACAGAGTGCACAGACTTTGATTTAGGCCTAGAAAGCCAACACAACTGGTGCAAATAAGTGGTGCCACATCTTTAAGCCTTCTGGCTACCATTGGAGTTGCCTTCAGAGGTAGCCCCATAGAAAACACATTGCCTTAGTCCAGTTTTCTCTCCCCCTCTCCCTGCGCCCATCCAAACTGGCTGGGGGGGCTGGTGGTGTTGGGAGAAGCCCCAGAACACCTCAAGGGAGGAAAAGAGGGGAGGTTGCTCCATCAGCTCAAGCACTTCTGCTTGCCTGATGAAACCATCTCCTAAGTACTACACTGAATCCCTCCCATAGCATCCTTCTGCCACCAAATGCCTATGCAAACAGGAATGTCATCCTAGGATGGAGAACAGGCCAAGTGGGGGCTGTGCATGCATGAATTTTCAGCTGCGAGCTGAAAGAAACGGGAGGCTTGAGTTCCTCTGCAGGCTAAATCCCACAAAGCTGTGGTTTGGTGGGTGGCTGGGCTCCCATTAAAACAAGAGCTGTTGGAACATCCATGCTGTAACTCCTTCCACCCTATGCTAGTCAGGATGCACACCTGTGGATCCATATATCCTAAAGACACCACAGTCTCTACTGATTTCCATTCCCAGGAAACCAAACCTGGGTAAGTGCTGGAGCCTCTCGGAGATTGGGGTGAACGCAACAGTATTATCCTTGCTCATTATTTTCATTTCGATTGTAAGCCACCTTGTATATTTTTTCTAGGAAGGTGGAATATAATGCTTTATTATCTTTATGTGGTGCAGGCAATTCTACTGAGGAGTGGATGCGGGGCTTCCACATTTCTCTCGCGTCACAGCAGCTAGAATTGACACACATAGACACACACACTCCTTTAGACTGAATATATATATATATATATATATATATATATATATATATATATTCGCGACTCGGCAACCAGAGATGAGCTCGTGCAATAATTTTGGTGTCCGCGTTAAGGAGCTGGGAGGCTCGCGGTTCTGCACGGGTGGAAGCAACGCGCGCTGAGGCTCCTCGGGCGGGAAAGAGCCTCCTCCTCCTCCGCGGCCTTAGAATAACGGCAAACGTAGCAGGCGGCATGCGCGAGCCGCCCCCAACCGCCTTTCGCCTCAGCAGCTCGCGCGAGACTCCTGACGTGCCTCCCTCCGCTCCCCCTCCTTCCCCGGCACGAGACATGCCAGCCAAGACTTCCGGGTGTACGCACTTTCATACCAGGCGGCGGTTGGTTATAATGATGCGTGCGCACTCAGGCGCCCTTAGCGCTTCTCAGGGCGGCGCATGCGCTAATTGAATGCGCCACTCCGCTAGTCAAGTCTTCCCTCCCTCTCCCCTCATTGACTAGGTCTCTTATCTTGCTCTCGTTATTTGTCCATCTCTTCACACCGTTTTAAAAAGCCTAGCCTTTGCCAACGATCCTTGTACTTAGCAACCTAAGAGTAGCCGTCTTAAGGGGGGTTGTGGGGTTGGACGGACAGCGACCTGCAATGCACACAAATAAGAATCCCAAGCGAGAGGCGTCCCCGCTTCACCTCAGACTATTTTTCTCGGACAGCAGAAAGGGCGACTCTGGTGACCTCCCATGTCACGTGACAGGGCTGCCCGGCATCGGGATGCCCTCCCTTGCGCCTGATAAAACAAATAATTCAAGAACAGCATCTTATGGGCGAAATGCATCGCCTTTCCGCTTAGTGTCTCGGCGTGAAGCAATTGCCTCTCCACCGCGACACGAACGCGGCGAAGCGGTGCGCCGCGAACCGAGAGGCTCTTTCTTTTTCAGGCGGATCTTCAGGGCAGCCCTGCTCGGGGTCCTTGTTCACCTGGGTCCCTGCGTGACCTCTGCAGGCTTTGGGAGGCGTGAGCCGGGCATTAGAAACCGGCGTTAGCTGGCGAGCGGGGTTCCGAGCGGCACCGGAGCCTCCCCGCGAGCATTCTGCGCTTCTCGGCTCGCGCGGGGAGGATTTATGAGCTGGGTGTGGGGAGAGCCCGCGAGGCGGCGGCGGCGGAGGCTCCTGGGGCAGCATGGTGAGTCTCTGGAGGGTGAGAACTCGGAGGGGAGAAGAGAGGCAGAGAGAGTTGGAAGTTCTCCCTAGAGCCGGTTGACCCTTTTAGGGCTTTCGGGACAAATCTTGTTTTTGAGGGCGAGGGCTGAAGCCGGAATAGGGGTGTTTGTGTGTGGGGAGAAGTCGGGGGTGGGGAAGCTGTGGGCCTTTGGATGTTGCTGAACACCACCTTCTGTCCGCGCCAACCAGGATGGCCAGTGACTAGGGGTGATGGGAGCTGTAGCCCAGCAACATCTGCAGGGCCACAGGTTCCCCATCCCTGTTCCGAAACGAAGGCCAGGCCTTTGGATGCTGCGGACTCCCACAATCCCTACCCTATGGACGTCAGCCCATCTTCTCCCCAACTGCCTACTTGGGGATGTGAGGTTGCCTGTTTTCAGATATCCGTGTGCAACCTCACAGAAGGGCAGTGGTGGCCACCAACTGGGATGAATTTAAAAGAGGACCAAGCAAATTCGTGGCTATCTCCTGCCAACCTAGCAGTTCGAAAGCACATCAAAGTGCAAGTACAGTGGTGCCTCGCAAGACGAAATTAATTCGTTCTGCGAGTTTTTTCGTCTTGCGAGTTTTTTCGTCTTGCGAAGCACGGTTTCCCAAAGTCTTCAAAATCACCAAAGTCTTCAAAAACCTCAAAAAAGGCTACCACACCGCGTGCTATGAGTTGCTCCTCGAAGTCACCCTGGGTATTAACGGTTTTAAGAAAAAGGAAACAAACTTGCAAGACGTTTTCGTTTTTTCCGTTTTTCGTCTTGCGAAGCAAGCCCATAGGGAAATTCGTCTTGCGAAGCAACTCAAAAACCGAAAAACTCTTTCGTCTTGCGAGTTTTTCGTCTGGCGAGGCATTCGTCTTGCGAGGTACCACTGTAGATAAATCGGTACCGTTCCGGCGGGAAGGTAAACGGTGTTTTCATGCACTGCTCTGGTTCGCCAGAAGCGGCTTAGTCATGCTGGCCACATGACCCGGAAGCTGTACGCCGGCTCCCTCGGCCAATAAAGCGAGATGAGCGTCGCAACCCCAGAGTCGGTCACGACTGGACCTAATGGTCAGGGGTCCCTTTACCTTACTGATGGCTATGCCCTTGCCTCCACAGGGAGAGGCAGCGAATGTTTTTGGATGCCAGTTGCTGGCAAACATAGGGGGGAAGGTCCTGTGTGTGGGCTTCCCACAGGCAGCTGCTTGGCCACTGTGAACAAGATGCTGGGCCAAATGGGGGCAACTGTGCTAATCTAGTAGGCTCTTCTTAGGTTATTTTAGGGAAGCGTGGCCACATGTGTTCTCCTTTTTCCAGTGTGGGTGGACTTTCTAGGTGGGGCGGGTGAGGCCTAGTTTCATCTGACCAGCCACAGGGCCCAGGCCTGCTGATAAGACATTGTTCCTGTTGAGGTGTTCCTGCTCTTCATTTGTGATTCAGGGACAGTCAATTGATCAAGCTCAATGGAATGCATAATGTGTGTGTGCACTGAAAACAAAGAAATCACCAAGTCAATGGATATAGTCAACCTGAAACTACAAATTTATCCAGATTTCCACCTATTCTAATATATACCCTATGAAAAAATATAGTTGGATATTTGCTAGTTGAGAACTGATTTGGCTGAGTCTAATCCATTTAATATTGCTGTTCTTAAATATAAGCACAAGCTGTTAGGCTGGATAAAAAGGGCATATAAATGTGCTGAAATAGCAATTCCACCTCACCTGCTTCTGTGATGAAAGGTAGTTGTCTCCTTGTACCATACTTGATAATTTCACTTGGAAATATACATAAGTATGAGAATGAGCACTAGTGGTATTGGTACAATTACAATTTGGGGGGGGGGGGTTTGCCTGCAGATGGCACCTGTGGTAGTATGCATTCCAGATTTCAGTGACCCAACCACTGCTGAATGAGTGGTCAGCCTATGTTGTTTCAGTGACCTGCAAGCCCTTCTGTAAAACTTCAAAGAAAAAAACAACAACTTCATATATGTGTTTCAAATCATCCTGAATATCACTTCTTACACTCCATTACCTAGATTTGCCACCAAGCATACACTGAGTCATGGTGTCCTATGAAATCTCTGCTCTTTCCCAACTGTATTTGTGTGATGTGTCATATATGTGTTTTGCAAACGTATTTGCCACATTCGCACCATGTAAGCTTTACATGTACACCTAAAAATATTAGTGGAAAATGAACCCAAGTGTATATGGGATAGTTTACCCCATTAAATACCATTAGTCATATAGTTAAGTGGAATTGCCATACAACTGAAACTGGATGCCACAACTGTTGGGAGAGGACAGCTATCAACCACTTAAGCACATTGCTTGTGACCTTCCAAAAGCACCCGTTTATTTGCTGTTGGAAAAAGAATGCAGTATTGCTTCCAATCTAGTGATGAAAGTCATTTATTTATTTATTATTTTTATAGTATGCTTAAAATTGTTCTATAGCGTTAAAAACAATAAAATTAAATAAATTGCAAAAAAAAATCCGAAACAAAAAATCAACAAAGCAGCAGGATGAAAAACAAATAAAAACATGTAGTATGCTCTAGAGTTCTTCATTGTAATTTCAGGTGTATTGTCCTTCAGTTGTCAACTTGAAAGTGAGAACTGAGACCTTAGTTATCCACTGAAAAGTATTTTTTGGTACTTTTGGAGTAAAACCCTGCAATAAACTGGATTCTCCTAATATTAGGCCAGCACTGGTGAATGTTTCCTGAAACACGGTATTGTGACCAACTGAGTGGATGTCCACCGATGTAGATCTGAAAGGGAAGGGGTTCTCGTCTTATGTTAAACTTATGGTTTGAAAATCACTGCTGCACATCTCTTTTCTAGTTTGCTGTTTAGACCAGGTCCTGTATTTCAACATGGCTCATTCCATGCTAGTGTTGCCCTGTTGGGGAACTGGGGTGATCCTGGCATGGAAAGGAGCAATATTTTCAACTCCCTTTCACATGGCCCAAAACTTCTGAAACCACAGAAGAGATGCAAGAAAGAGCCAGGCTACAGAGAATCCCATGCTGTTGAGACTGTTGAAAGAGCTTTAGAATTCGTACTACATATTATCTTTAGGGGCAAAACTTCTTAATGTAGGCATGATAAATGTTGCATGAGCTATATCGTACATTAAGCACCTCTTAGCCAGTGGTGTTTGAGAAACTAGGTCACTAAGCAGCAGTCTTCTGAACTACTTATTATCTTCCATTGATTTAGACTGTGGGAAGCAGCCTTGTACAACTGGAACCTAGTGAATCCTGCTAGGACCTGTTTAGTTTCTGTTTTCAGCCTGGACTTGACGATCTGTTGCATTTCAGCAGAGCAAGGATGCAGCTCCCAGATTTCCAGCTCTACAGTGCCATTGGTTGCTACCCATACTATGAATTAAATTTATATATAATTTATATAATAGATTTTCATTTTCTACCTTTTGGGGGCAGTGGGAGTGTGGTAGACTTGTCACGCTTCATCATTAGGAAGAGAAGCAGAACATTCCTAAAGTTTAACACTGAATACTCCTGTTCACGCACCTTGACACACAAATATTGCCTGCAAATGTATCTCTCTCTAATGCTTATATGAGATCTAACTACCGTATTTATTGCTCCATAAGACGCACCTGACTATAAGACGCACCTAGTTTTTAGAGGAGGAAAGGGGGAAAGCCCTGTTTTTTGGGGGATCAGCTCACAGTTGTGCAGCTTCTTTTGCAAAAGGGAAAAGCCCCTTTTTTGAGGATCAGCTCAAAGTTGTTGAGCTTACTTTGCAAAGGGAAAAAATCCTGTTTTTATGGGGTTTTCAACTCACAGTTCTGCAGATTCTTTAGGAAAGGAAAGGGAGCCATTTCTACAGTTTCCAGACAGATAATCTAATCAACCAGTCACATGTCGCTGGGGAAACAAACAGCCTCCGCCTGCGGAACATTCAGCAATGGAGGCCTGGGCAAGGGGGCGGGACCGGAAAGGGAGCCAGCGATCGACCACACATTTGCGCCATATGACGCACAAACATTTCCCCTTGCTTTTTAGGAGGAATAAAGTGTGTCTTATGGAGCGAAAAATACGGTAAGTCATAATCAGAGTAGATTCATTGAAATCAATAGCCTGATTTAATTTAATTGATTTCAGTGGGTATATTCTGAGTATGGCTAATGTTGACTTTCGTCCTCTGTATTCCCATCTTCCCATGACCATTGTCCATGCTGGCTGGAGCTGATGAAAATTGTAGTCCAAGAAAATCTAAAGGGCACCATGTTGTCTACCCTTGATGAGGAGAAGCTGTATGAATCAACCCTGAAATGTTAAACTCGAGAGTACTTAATATTCCTAAAGGGTTGGTGCTTATAGTGAAGCTGTTGTTGTTTTTGTTAGAGAAACTACTAATGCTCCATTGCAAACAGTTTTGAAACTGAGTTTCAAAAGCAGCGTCCCAAATCAGCCCTGTAGTCATGTTATATCTAAAGAGCAATATAAAAATCTGAGAAATAGTGCTGTTGTGCTCTGCATTTCACCTTATACATTTTTCTCTCTGTTAACCTCTCTGCATTTCACCTTATACATTTTTCTCTCTGTTAACCTTGTTTCCCCCCTAGATCATGTCTTTCATATTTAACCTGTTTTGTCAATTGCTCTATGCTTACCACTTATCACAATGCCTTATCAGAATGTGGTTCCAAACTGTCTGACCTCTAGATATTGTTACAATGCAGCTGCTAAATTCTATTCAAAACAAAGTGCTGCAGCAAAAGTAAATATTAGGCATAATTGTGTGCAAACAATTTTCTTGCCCTTGAATAAGTTATTTCCTGGGGGCCTTTTATAGTCTGACTGTATTATGGTCACTATTTTTCCATGAAATCTCAGACTATGATTTATCACAGCACTGGGATGAAAAGTGTATACTATAGATTTACACAATAGTAATGTGTTCGGTTAGTAATAAAGTGATGTTTAGCAGTTGGTGAGCCTTGCTTTTACCAATATTTTCGGGAAACATGGATTGCCGACTTGGGTATATAAGATGCTAAAAACATCTTGGGCAGTCTTCTCTCACTGTGAAGTAAAATGTTAGTCTGCTGCCTCTCAGATAGTGCACTATGCATGCCTAGCATTTTTTTTTAATTCCAATATGCAGAAACGTGAATATGGGTTCCAAATGCCACGTTAAACTAATAAATTTTGACTGGTGTTGGTTGCCAAATACCATATATACTCGAGTATAAGCTGACTTTTTCAGCACATTTTTAATGCTGAAAAAGCCCCCCTCGGCTTATACGCGAGTGAGGCGGGTGACGGTGGCAGAGGGACAAGCAGCCCAAAAGGAGCCTTTTCTCACTGCTTGTCCCACTGCCGCCCGCCTCTCACAAGGACAGGCACAGGAGCCGCGGTTGGGAGAGGCGTTGCGCTGCGCTGTGCCTCTCCCAACTGCGGCTCCTATGCCTGCTCTTGCAAGCGGCAGAGGCAGCGGCGGAGGGATGAGCAGCCCGAAAGGAGTCCTTTTGGGCTGCTCCTTCCTCCTTCTCCACCTTTGCCGCTGTCGGCGGTGGTGGAGGAGGAATGAGCAGCCCAAAAGAGCCCTTCAAGGCTGCTTGTTCTTCCGCTGCTGCTGCTGCCACCAGGGTTGTGGTGTGGTGAACCGGCTTATACTCGAGTCAATACGTTTTCCCAGTTTTTTGTGCTAAAATTAGGTGCCCCGGCTTATATTCGGGTCATTTTCACATGTACTGCTAGTAAGACAGGTGTCTCCCATCCTATATTTGTGCATCTGGTTCTTCCTGCCTAAGTGCAGGAAGTTTTTGTTTTGCTGTCTTTAGAATTGAGATGCAACTTTTATGTGGGTGGGGTGGGATGTGCATTCTCTGTCTTGCACTGGTAAATAGAGAACTGGAATGTGAACCTGATGTGTGATATGGGATGGTTCTTGGGGAACATTTTGAGTGTGCGCGCTTTCCTTTGTTTGCTGGAGAGCCTTTCTGGCTCCACCCACTGTGTGGCCCCTGGAAGATGGCCATCTTTGAATTCAGCCCTTGAACCAAAAGAGTTTTCCCACCAGATATTTAGTCTCTGTTTTTTTCTTTGTTTTTATTTCTTAGTCCATATCTTTACTTCTTATTCACCCAACATAGATTTCTAAAGGCTTATAGATATAAGACTGGGGTATAGGTATAATGATGGAAATTACCACATGTATTCTAATTATGCAAATTCATCACTACAGTGTTTCACAGACCACATTGGAAAGTATTATACTCACAACCTCTTTATTTTAGGCTGCAGGCTGGATATGCAGGTGTACAGCATGGTAGCATGTAACATTTCTTATTTTTATTTTTTTAAATAGCTTTATTTACAAAATTGTTTTATTTATGAAATTGTCATTTTTATAGTTCAGTTGCTTTGAAATATTTCATAGGAAGTGATTCAAAAATGGTAATAAATGCAATAAATATGTGGAGAACAGACTTGTCATGTGCCCAAGAGCAATGGTCAGTCACTCTCTTGAGTTTCCTATAGTAGGCACAGGTGTATCTGGGCTTCTGCATGTATTATGAATCAGCTCTAAATAACCAGTTTTTAAAGATCAAAGAGAGATTGGACCCAAGTCTGGAAGTTGTGACTTGTTTCTGACAAGTGACTAATTGCAAGCTTGGCCCAGGCAGGGTAAGAATTTGAACTGAGCGTTCACTGTCCCCCTTTAAAACACATTTTTAAAAGTAATGTTGGTGGTTATGTAATTTATTTGCTCTTCAGAAATAGTGTGCTACAATGGAAAAACAGCTAGATGTGTGCTCTCTTTCCTAGAAAGCCATATTTCTGAATCCTTTATCGATGCCTTTATGGAGGGATTAGGACAAACAGTCGTAAGTTCACAGTTACAAAAACAACCCTGCAGTATATAAAGGTTCATTTTAGAACTGTAGGCTTTGAAATATAAAAAAATGTTCCGGCATGTTAACATACATTGGCTTATTCCTCCACAGGGTGTGATAGGTGTGCAGCTGGTGGTTACCATGGTGATGGCTAGTATTATACAGAAGATCATACCTCACTACTCTCTGGCGCGGTGGCTTCTCTGTAGTGGCAGGTAAGATAAGGGCAACAAATTGAACGTCTGACAAAGTGGGTTCTATCCCATGAAAGCTTATACCATAATACCACTGATAAGACTGTAAGGTGTTGTTGTAATTGCCCAATTCTGTAATGCATTTGCGTTTACCTAGAAACAAATCATAGTGATGTGCAGATCTTGAAAGTTTGTCTTTCAGTAGAATAGTCACTTTCAATCTTTTAAAGTCATTTGGAGATTTATCACTGTACTGTAACTTCAGATGAAATTGAGTAATACGTGGTATGCTTAGTTATACTACTGTGTATCTTAATGAACATAACTCTTGGCAGGGTTCTTGTTGCAGACTATTCTGTTCCATCGAAGTTCCTCTTAATCCTGTGGCAACATATTTCTTCCTTAAGTGCCTGTAATAAAATACAGTTTCTCCTATAGTTGAAATACAAAGTTGAAAATGAATGAAAGAAGCGGGATAGTTTATTCACAAAACAAGCTGTTGTTAGGGGCAAGTATACTATTTGTGATTCACTTCTTAGTGATCTGGATCACAATAGTTCAAGATTAGTCATAAATTTCCATTTGGATGTGTTCTTTTCCTTGTGGGTTGTCTTGTCAACAGATAGTTCTGAAAAAATGGTGAAGTATTAGCAACATAATCCCCTAGCTTGCAGACTATTCTGATATAAATGTTCTGAAATTCCAGATAGCAAGAATTAATCTTTTTTTAAAAAAAAATTCCCATAGTAAGAAATCAGTTAAAGATGTTGATTAAATAATTCCACACCTAGTTCAAACAAAATCACTTTAAAATGTGTGATGCCGAGGTGTTCAGTTGATTGGTTTTACAAGTAATAACTAATGATTTTCCCATTCACCTTAAATTGAATTGATTATTCAAGTAAGGATTGTGTGAGCCAGGTGGCTGGATGGGAAATGCAAGGAAGGATTGTGGGAGCTGCTTGTTCTAGAGAATTGCCTAAACATCTCACTAGAGAGGATAGGTAGAAGCACAAATTAGGCAGAGGGGATGATATAGTTGCATTGACCCTTGCTTGGTGTTAAAACAACAGCATTTTGTTGGTCCATCATGGACTCCTATAGAGATTTTTACAGCTGCTCCTGGGTATTCATGAGGACTGTCATAGAATATTGGAAGTCCTGATATTAATTTAGCTGCAGTAGTGAAAATATTGCACGTTGCCAGTGGTTATTTTTGCATAGCAACACAACCCTTTTCTGTTTTGTTCTGAACTCTTAATAACCAAGTTATTCAGAATGTGGGATTTTGGTTTCAGAAGCTGTTTGAAAGGATGAAAATGTTGAAAATGTAGGCAAATGGCAAAAAGGTGGGGTTTGGGCAGAAATGAAGAGTGTGATTGCTCTGCCCCCCACCTCCAGTCACCAGAGGCTTTTGGTAGTCACTGTGTGCTTTTAAAACTATTTTTGAACCTCATTAGTTGAGTCACAGCACTTTTAAACTGATATCTTTGAAGCTCCTTATGTGCGTTTCTGTAACATAGTAAGCTACTCTTTTGAAACCTCAATGTACAAAAGTGACACCAGTTTGGAAGCTCATTCTGATAATGGGCTATCTACTACAGGGCAACATTTATGTAAGGCAGTATGTGACATATGATAACATCAGCTTGAAATCAGGAATTTTGTGAATGAACAAGAAAGCAAATTCTTTTATATTTAGTCTGACAAACACCTGTATTTCTCTTGGTACCTGCTTCTTCAAAAATCTTGTAGCTTGCGATGGTATCTGCATCCCACAGAAGAAGAATTACGTATTCTTGCCGGGAAACAACAAAAAGGAAAAAGCAAGAAAGATAGGTAAGCAAGCAATATGAGCCCGTCATTGTTTTTCAACCTCTGTCTCCTAGCTAGAAAATGGGGATGACTATTTGCTATTCCAATTAGTCTTTGAAAATGAAGAAAAATACTGTTCTACATATGGAAAACTGGATGGATGTGCACATCTGCCCCCCAATACACATAGAATATAATAGAATCTCTAAGGTATCTGCCTTCTCTCCACCATTACCCCCATATTGAGTATGGCTTATAAATTTTGTTTGTTTACTGTAGGAGTGGCTAACTCTTTATTTGCGGCCCTGATCCAAACCATTTTTCCCACTCCCTCCAACTCCACCAACTTTGGCTGCACCCTGATGCTAAATAAATCACACACATAGAGAAAGAAAGAGAGGGAGACCTGGTAACTTTGATGGCACTCAGCATATGGAATGGTTTTTATGATGTGTCTCTCTTTACAGGAAATATAATGGTCATATTGAAAACAAACCGCTAACCATTCCTAAAGACATTGATCTTCATTTGGAAACAAAGTCTATTACTGAAATAGATGCATTAGGTAAGGGTCTGAGACCATTATAAACTGCATGGTGTCACAATTGTGTATTCTTTAATCCGAAATGTATGGTGTTGTCCAAAGAGAGCTACATAATTCTTAATTCCAGGTTTGTTCAGGTACTTTCTTGTAGAACAAACATTTCCAAAGGTGCAAATTAGCCTTTTTTGAATTTCTAATCTGGCCCCTGTTTTAAAAGCATCTAGTTTCTAAACAATGACTTGCAATATTACTGGAGAACTTGGGAGGTGAAAGGTAAGCTCATTATAGCTGTCCCTAACTTTGCATAGGGACGCGGGTGGCGCTGTGGGTAAAACCTCAGTGCCTAGGGCTTGCCGATCGCATGGTCGGTGGTTCAAATCCCCGCGGCGGGGTGAGCTCCCGTCTTTTGGTCCCAGCTCCTGCCCACCTAGCAGTTCGAAAGCACGAAGTGCAAGTAGATAAATAGGTACCGCTTTATAGCAGGAAGGTAAATGGCGTTTCCGTGTGCTGCGCTGGTGCTGGCTCGCCAGAGCAGCTTCGTCACGCTGGCCACGTGACCCGGAAGTGTCTCCGGACAGCGCTGGCCCCCGGCCTCTTAAGTGAGATGGGCGCACAACCCTAGAGTCGGACACGACTGGCCCGTACGGGCAGGGGTACCTTTACCTTTAACTTTGCATAGTAAATTGTGTAAGTTGAGAAATGAATTCCATGTAACAACCATTATTTGTTTTACAGCCAATTTCAAATAAATCATGAAGGGAGGAAGCTATTTTAAGTTTTACACTGGAAAGATTTACTTCACTTTGAGCACCAGTGCATGTTGGAGGAGGACTTTCTGATGGCATACAGAAAGGGCTCCAATCAGCATCATTTTAGAGAGAGAAGACCCACTATACATTGTAGGCTAAACTTAAAGTTTTTAAGCTGTTCCAAGATGATACTGATATCAAACTGGTCATGGTAGTTCCCATAGAGTTATGTATTTGATGGCAGGTAGAACACACACTTCGCATGGATGCAATCCTGATCAGTCCATGGCATTGTCAGATAAAACGCCTGTGGTTGCAGAGCTGGGGAACATCCCTGTTTGTGATCCTGGCAAGCCATTGCTAATCAGAGTGGACTGTATGAGACTGGATGGAGCAGTAGTGTAGCTAGGTATAATAAAGCAGTGAATCCATTTGAACTGGATTCAAGGAGCAATGTCCTCCTTGCCAGAAAGCTTGTGCCTTCTGTTTGGTGTATCTGGATATTCTAGCTATTTTCCGCATTTTGTGATTGGTCTTCTAGTAATCTAATTATAGGTGAAAGTTGTTGCTGGTTTTTTATTTTTATTTTTTATTTTTAAGAAAACAACAATGAAAGGTTGATAACTGCAGTTCATGTATGGACATCCTGGGTGTATTTGAAACTCTAGGAACCACAGATGCTAAAAATGTTTTCTGCTTGTATTTCAGTTACTAAGTAACCATTTATATTTCAGCCTTGCATTATTTTCCTGAATATCAGTGGCTGGTGGACTTCACAGTTGCGGCTACAGTGGTATATTTGGTTACTGAAGCCTACTACAGCTGGGTGAAGCCCTCACAAGAAATGAATATCAGTATAGTCTGGTGTCTGCTTGTTCTGGCTTTTGCAATGTATCCTTTTACAGTGTCACAACTGTTCTGTATGACTGCTTAAAAGAAGATCTAATGTTCTGTGAAACACGCAGGAGATAATTTGTTGCTTTTAATTGAATCATAGGAAGTCTTATGGTAGTGTTCATCTAAAGCATGCATAATTCATTATTACATAGTGCATTATTCTGTATGAAAGAATTTTTCTTTGTCCAGAAGCATAGCCAACATCTACAAGACATGCACAGTACTGTGCAGCAATGCTAAGCTTCTGCTTGCTGGTCCTGGCAATGGTGACTGGATAGTACCAAAGAGGTGTTTAAAGAATGCTGAAACAGTCTTGCATGGCCTGCCTATATTTTGCAGAGACAGAGTAAGTTGCAAATAAGTTGTTGAGCTTCATGCCAAGCCTCTCCGCTCCGTCTTGTTCTGGATATTTTTGGCTTTAAAAATGACTTTGTATGTTTTAGGTCTACACAGAATTCTTTGTCAGGCTGGCTTCTGTTCACAGTGATAAGATTTGTAAGAAGGCTGAGTAAATACCCTTGCTTTCTAATGTTTTTTCCCCCTGTCTAGTGCTAGTGATTGACATTGCTGCTCAGGTATTGATAAATAGTCTTTTATGATTTGTTTGCTGACATAAGTAGAATAAATCATATTTCTAGTTTTAGGTTTCAGATTTTCTGCAAGATGCTGGTTTTAATGTCTTTATTGTAAGATATGTTAACTAAACAATGCACTATAAAACTGTCCTACTTATGAACTCTTTCATGGCTGTAAAATCTTAGCCTAGATCTTGTTTTGTAATTATTTGCATAGGGAGAGATCCAACATTGTAACATTTTGTTAGACTCTAAATACAAACTTGTACTAAATAATTGGCCTGCAACAAAATTAGGGCTTCTGGCTACAGCTGCCTATATTGCACAGCATGCAGCAAAAGTCATAGTTATGAATAACGTATACTAAAAGGAGCACTTGTGTTCAGACTGCTATTGTAGAAGAGTACCACCAGCAGCAATCTATATATAGCTCTTTTTCTCTCCTTTGTAAAAAGATCTCAGCATGTGCCAGCCTCTGCTTATCTGCAGGCTTGCAGTCAGAGAGGAGACCCTGCAAAAATACTGCAGCATTTAGGGTAGGGAATGAAAAAAAGTCAAATTGCTGATTGCTATCTCTTAGTTGCATAGATTGTCCTAAAAACTATTATTTTGCATTCTCTTGAAGCTTTAGACAAGCTTTAACTTAAGACATTTGCTAACTTTGAAAAAGGATAGCACTGCATTATCTACTGGATAGCTCAGTCGGTTAGAGTGTGGTGCTGATAATGCCAAGGTTGCAGGTTCGATCCCCATAAGGGAGATCTGCATATTCCTGCATTGCAGGGGGGTGGATTAGATGATCCTCAGAGTCCTTTCCAACTCTATGATTCTATGCTGGTTACACCCACCCACACTCACAACCTCTCATATTGTATGGAATGAGATCTCCATTGAAGAGTTTTGTGCACTAGTTTGCATCTCTTGTTGCTGAAATCTGTCTTCTCAACCATAACTTACCCACTCAAAAAACCCAGATGGATATATGGGCAAAAAAATATGAAGAATCTGACAGCGCTCAAAAGGTGGTGGCACCAGTTGTATGTGGCAGCCTTCTTTGTACTCCAATCTGGAAAACTCCTACAGCTTCTGTACATTGTCACATAATTAAGAAAACAGACCACTGCTGCTTCTATAACAAGTGCTGGTCAAACAGCTTTCTGAAGAGAAGCTTCATAATGAGTCTAAACTGACTGAAGCAGAGGAGGCAGAGTTCAGTGCAAGATGTTGGTGTCTCTTGAGCTGGTAAAGTCAAATGAAACAAAATATTCGCAGTGTTCCTTGTATGTGGATAGCAGTTTAATCAGTGTAGTTCATGGCTAAAATAATATTTACCTCTACGCTATGAATCAAATAAATGCCCAATAGGAGGTGACATTCTTAAGTATGCATACTGAAATGTGCTTTGGGCATTGTTGACTAATGAATCCCCAGGCCATAGAGTGTATGTACGTTCAAATTCTGATGTACATTATATTAAGAATCAGTATGGATTGATACAGTTAATAAGTGCTTGTTTGTGCTCTTAAAAGTGTTGCTTCAATAGCGATATGTCTGCATTAGTTGACTTAACAGTCAGTACTGTATTGTGTTCTTGATTTTCTTTTTTTAATGAAAACTCATTATGTTATTTAAACTATTTTAAAATCTTTTGGAAACTGATGATAGTGTGATTAATAGAGGAAAAATTATTGTGTGATCATGTTATCAAGTCAGGTTTTGGTGTTCAACTATTGCATAAAATTTGTTAAATTCTGGAGTTTCTGATCATAAAAGCTGTAAGCTTTAATATCCTAATATCTCAATTTAATTCCAGCTTCCTTTAAAATAAGTGAAATTAATATTCAACTGTACAAAAAGCTTGTTTGGTTTCTACAAAATTGTTGGTTTTGGATGTAACTTGAGAGAAATCAAGCTTTGTTAAGATCAACTCCTTTTATACTTCATTTCTGAATAAATCCTTGGTGCTAGCTCTCTTTAAATACATCTCTTTAATAGGTAAACTGGAAGTTGTATCTAATTGTGTTTCTCTGGTGATGGGAGGCTCGTTGTTTCGAAAGTGGCTTCCATTAGTGGTAGGGGGGGGGAGTTGGTTTTAGTTTATACGCTCTGCACCACCCAATCTACTCCAGGGAGTTTGGAGACCCTTAGGAAAACCGGGAGTCACGCAGGGGATGCCCCTCCCCTCACAAACCCTTCCACCAGTGGAAACTTCTGCTGAATTAAGCAGCCTTCCATCAGCAGAGAGAAATATACAATTAGATACAAACCAGGATCTGAGCAGCTAGATGCACTATGTACGTAGTAGAATTTTATTTATTTTTACTTTGATCAGCAACCCTCCCCCATTCCATATCATTAATTTCTTTTGGTTGAACTTACCTCTGTTTGAAGAGGAGGGGACCATGTGGCATATTGGAGCTACGTGCTGATGATGAAACATAAGCCAAATTCCCTTTGGGCGTATGGAACTAATTGTCTGATTTTTTTGTAATAAGTTTAGTATGTGTTGGCAGCACTGTGTTTAAACAAATCCATTCAGCTATGCTTTCTCTATTTAATTTTCATCGTAAGCTAATTTTTGGCTAATCTACGGATTGTACAAAACTGTTCTTTTCCTTAACTATTCTTATGTAGCAAAATATTGTTTTCATTAACTGCACACTACTTCAAAGTAGAAGAGGGAGGTGAGCGATCCGTCTGCGTAACCTTTGGCTTCTTTTTCTTTGTCAAAGCCATGACCATTCTGATAGTAACAGAAAATTATCTAGAATTTGGACTCGAGTCAGGTAAGACCTTAAAAGGTTATGTTTGGGCAACATTAATATCATTTAGTTGGATCCAGAGAAATGTTTATACAATATTCATCTATTTCCAAAATTTATAGACTGCTATTCACCACGGGTCACAAAACGATTTACAGAGGAGTCCATAAAACAAATCACCGATTAAATAATTTGGTGTTTAAAACAATAATAAACACAGGGAAATTATTAGGTGGGCATAATACAACTTCTTTTATAAATGCATGCTGGAATTGAAAGGTCTTTGTCAAGGAGACCAGTGGAAGGTGACTTTTTGATGTGGCAATCCCCAAGCCCCACCCCCCAACCCTTGGGCCCTGCCAAACGGGGTAGGATATGGAACAGGAGGAAGGGGGGATAATGTAAAATCAGGTGGAAGTACTTGGGCTGCTTTGGTTCGCCAGAAGCAGCTTAGTCATGCTGGCCACATGACCCGGAAGCTGTCTGCGGACAAACACCTGCTCCCTCAGCCTATAGAGTGAGATGAGCGCCACAGCCCCAGAGTCGTCTACGAATGGACCTAATGGTCCGCGGTACCTTTACCATTACCTCTACCTTCTGTGTACAAGATCTCTCATAGAAAGTGGTTCTACAAAATTTCCAGCACTAACTTTTTTCTGCTCTGCACCACCACATCACAGCACACCATATACCGACGTTTGAGGAGCCAAGGTTCAGCCCAGTGTGTGTTTTACAAACAGATTCTTTCTCAAAATATTTACTACTCTTTTGCCTACTTCTAACCTTAGCTTGTTTTCATTTCTTCAACTCTTTCCCCATTACTGCAGTTGCCTGAAGTACCTCTTCTAGAAATTGGTTATGCTCTTAGGTTGCAATTTAGGCCCATTAAGATCAACACTGTTGACTTCAGGTGGATATAGATTGCACTCTTAAAAAGAAGACACAGTCTGTTCACCCTTAAGAGAACATACAGATAGCTGAGAGATATTTTCCAAGGCCTTGCCTGTTCATAATTGAATTAGAGCATTCTGACTGGCGAATGCAGAAAAACCTGGCTAACATTTGAAAATTACCTCTAAAATGTTTTGTGTTGCTAGTGTTTTGAGATTCTGCGTTTCACTTTGTGCAAAATTTTCCACATGCAGGCTTCTCAAATTTTTCAGAAAGTGCTGTGCAGTTTTTTGAAAAGCAAGGCTTGGAATCCCAGTAAGTATAACAAACAACTATGTAGAGATGCGTATTGTTATTACTAGGTTCTATTCAACTAACTTTTACTCAGAAAGGACCCCCTGAAATTAATGGCTATGATTAATTTAGGGCATTCATTTCAATGGGTCTACTCTGAGTAAAGGCTAATTGAATACAACCCATTGAAATGTTATCCATGCTCTCCTTTTAGTTGAATTTTGTTTGTATTAAGGTTCTTTAATTCACAGGAGCAGATGGGACAAGGGTTTCAAACCCAGCAAAGCCTTTCACATTCTGTTCATGACAGTAATTCTTTGTATACCTCAAACTGCTTCTGAAACTGTTGGGTACAGCTTCTGATGTGGCACGTGAGAGCTGCTCTTGACAGAAAGTAAAGGTTCCAGTGGACTTTCATGATATGGGTCCTGTTGCAGTAGGACCTCACATTCCTGAATACCACATTCCTGATGTACCAGACCACGCTTTCTATTTTTCAGTTATTCCTTTTGAGTTTGTAGAAACTTCAAAAGCCTATGAATCAAATGTTTTCGAAATGGGAGTTCATAATTTGCAACTCCACACTTTTAGAGTAGAAACTGCAAAAGCCTATGAATCAAATGTTTTCGAAATGGGAGTTCATAATTTGCAACTCCACACTTTTAGAGGAAAGGTGATGAAATGCAAGTGAGAACAGAGCTCCTGTCCTCTTTTTAATTATTGAGTTTAGTTGCATAACTAGCTGCAATCGCTGAAATTTCTTATTGTATTGGAACTCTTTTTCTTGAGTCTTGGTGGCCTGGCTTCAGGATGCGAACAGGGCTCTGGAACGGACCCCATTTGCATCCAGAGGTACCACTGTATTTTGTTGGAAGCCGCCCAGAGTGGCTGGGGAAACCCAGCCAGATGGGCAGGGTATAAATAAAAAATTATTATTATTATTATTATTATTATTATTGGCTCAATGGCCAGGCCAACAAGACTCAAGAAAAAGACAGAGAGCCCTGTTCTCATGTGCATGATGTTATTTTGAGCGTCTGCGCATGCGTGAGCGGCAAAACCTGGAAGTAACGCGTTCCATTACTTCCGGGTCGCCGCGGAGCGCAACCCGAAAACCCTCAACCCGAAGCTACTTCAACCTGAGGTATGACTGTATTAAAATACAGCAGTCTGTCAAACATTAAAAGCTTCCCTAAACAAAGCAATATCTAACTAATTCTGACCACTGTAGTGGCCAGAAATTCAATTCTGATAATCATCAGGTGAAACCTCCAATTTGTTCATCCACAGATGTAACAGATTCTTTAAAAGTTGCTAGCAGTAAAGGGTGACAGTGGGCAAAACGGTATTGTTCTCCATCCTGTGGTACGCTACAGCATCAGTATCATGATTTGAAGGGTGTGTGAGATTATACACTTAAAATAATCCTAGAAATGATGAGTTGGAAGGGACCACAATTCCAATTAGTCCAACCCCCTGCTATGCAGGGAACTTTTGCCCACGACCCTGAGATTAAGAGTCTCATGCTCTACCAACTGAGCTCTCTCTCTCTCTTATGTATGAAACACACAAGCGGAACCTTCAACAAAAATATTGCATTGGAGAGAGTTCCTATTCGGAATGCAAGCCTTGCCCTCCTACACGGTATTCCGTACCACTCCCTCTTCCATTCCACTCTGTTCCCATGCTAAGCCCTCAGCAATCATGTTTTTTGTGTTCTTCCCCTGCCCAAGTGCACACAGATTTTTGGGGTACTTTTGTAAACCTGGGGTTTTCCCCAAACTTTCTTCTGTTACCTCTCTCTTCTGGGTGTGATTCATCATGTTGCCTATATAAGTATCCACAAATGGAGAAAGAGTTTTCAATTAGTATATAGCAAGAGTGGGCAACTGGATCTGATGGACAGGCTAGCGCCACCCCACCCCAAACACCCATCAATCATCGAATGTCAGGTGACCTATTTTATCTACAGTGGGGCTTGCAAAACACTATATACAGCAAAACATAATGCAAACCTACTTTTAGCCCAGTTGCATCTTTCCCTGTATCTCATATGAGGTTATGTGTAGGTATGGTTTGGTCAAAATGGCCTGGCAGGACAAATTGGAATATCTGGCAGACCTAATTTGACCCATGGGCTAGAGGTTCCTTACTACTGATACATTGATGTTGACACACAGAGATGCACACATGTACCTGCTATTCATCTCCTGTAAAAAACAATGAACAACCCATTATTGGGCAGCAAGTACCAAAGGAACTTTGGCATAAATGACTTGATATCTCAGAAGACACTTTTTTACTATTACAGTCATACCTCTTGTTACATTTACTTCAGGTTGAGTGTTTTCAGGTTGCGTCCTGCAGCGACCCGGAAGTACCGGAAAGGGTTACTTGCTGGTTTTGCTGCTCACGCATGTGCAGAAGCGGTGAATCGTGGGACGCGCAGACGCGGGTTGCGTTCTGCTAATGTTGCGAACGGGCCTCTGGAACGGATCCCGTTCGCAACCAGAGGCATCACTGTATGCATCCTGCAAGAGTAGATTGGTTTAATATTTCTGATTTTCAGTAATAAGTTTATTTCTTAACAGTTGGAAGGGAAATAATGGCTTTTGTTTGCTTTTTTGTTTTCCTTTGTCATGTTATGTAAGAGCAAAATATATACCATGTCCTTAAAATGTTGGAAAAGTTGACAATTGTTTCCCCTTTTCCCTTTTTTCTTAGGGGTCCTGTTTCTAAACTAACCTTCAAATTCTTCTTGGCTATCCTTTGTTCGTTTATTGGTGCTTTTTTGACATTCCCTGGATTGAGATTGGCTCAGATGCATCTGGATGCTTTGAGTTTATCAACTGAAAAAATCACCCAGTAAGCCACGTCATGTAGAACTTTGCTTAAATCTGCCAGTAGTAATATTTGGGCAGCACTTTTTCTTTTTTCCTCAGCTAAAATACCAATTCATAACCAGTTTTCAGTGTACAATAAAAGTCAAGGAAGGGCTGGAAAAGTCAAGGAAAGTTGTAGCAATTGTTCTGCATGCAGAAGGTTTCAGATTCAGTCCCATGCATCTCCATGCAGAGCTTGAAAAGATTCCTTTTTGAAACTCTGAAGAGCCGCTAAATTTGGTGTAGAAAGTATGAATCTAATGGACCAATAATCTGACTCTGTATAAGGCAACTTCCTATTTTCCTAATGAGAATATGGCTAAACCATCTATTAAACATTTTAAAAGAAGAAAAGGCAGGGGTGAGGAGAGGAGGAAAACGAGACTTGTGTTCAGAAGTCTTAAAGGTGAATACCCGGAACAGTTGAATATCTGAATAGAGCACATTTATTCAGTGAGGAACCTGGCATAGTGCAGGTGAAGTGGCCCGTGCTGTCTTAAGGCACAGCGGTGGCAGCTCCAAATTGTGTGTGATATCTGAGACCCCAGGAATGTTCAAGAATGCTGGACAGGAATAATAACATCATGGTTGCCTGTGCCTGTAAGCAACCTTGCTGCTGCATTCTGAACAAGCTGCGAATGATGGAGAAGCACTGTTGGAAACCCCTATAAGAGGATTAACAGACATTTAGTCCTGTGGCTAACCCAGAGATAGGTTGCAGTGGCGGGTCAGCTGGGAAGTAGTTTAGGGACATTATGCCACTGTGAAGAATCCTCAGATGACTTGATCATTGGATATGCTCATAGAAAAGTCACGGGAAAAGATGATGCCCATAAATTATACTTGATCTGCTGCCTTCTGTTGGGCCCCATTCACAAGCAGAAAAACCCAAGGGAAAACATAAGTTTCATCCCAGCTACCTCTTTCTACTTGCATTGCCTTAGTGCTTTCAAATTGCAGAGATGTTGTTTGCTAACTAAACAGTTTATCTGTTTCAAAGTTTCCTTCTCTACTGTCTAATCAACAAATGTGCTACTTTAGAATAACAGTAACTGAATTATATTTTGGTTCATTAATAAATTTGGTTTGGTGTGTGGATTAGGGGTGAAGCTGTGCATTCATTGGAATTCCCTACACTTAGCTTGACTGTCAATGTAATAGACTGAAATATCTGTTTGGGAACCCCAAAGCCCAATGAGCCTGCCAGAGAGTGGGGGGCATTCCTGAGCACATAGCTAACTCATATTCAGTGCTATCGAGACTTTTTGAGTTTCACTGTTGCACTGTGCAACTGGATAGTGAATCTTACAATATAATCTAAATTGAAAATTTGGTAGTGGCAAGCAAGCTAGAGCCATTGTGGGTCTTCCTCCTGAAGAAATGATGATGATTTATTAAATTTATATACTGCCCTCCATCTGTAGATCTCAGGGCGGTTCACAACATAAAAATACAAGATCCCCCCCCCATATACAAAATTCATATTAAATACAAGAACAAAAGCAAACTAACAACCTCACCCAGGATTAAATACAGGAGCTCCAGCATTTTCAGTGACATTTTGAAAACCACCATCCTAGCAGATAAAACAAATGTATCAGAAGGGTTATGAGCTAGTTTGTATGTATTTTACTTTATTTTCAACACAGCAATTTGAAAATGCAGTTATTATGGTGCATTAATTTTGTTTCTCTATTTAACTTTCAGAACTCTGCTGCATATAAACTTCCTGGCACCCCTCCTGATGGTCTTATTGTGGGTAAAACCTATTACTAAGGACTATATAATGAATCCCCCATTGGGAAAAGAGAATGTGCCTTTGTAAGTTGTTCTTGAAAATCTACCTTGTAAAATGTTACCGTACATGTACCACTTTGTAGAGGGACATGGGTGATGCTGTGGTCTAAATCACTGAGCCTCTTGGGCTTGCTGATTGTAAGGTCGGCAGTTCAAATCTCTGTGACGAGGTGAGCTCCCATTGCTTTGTTACAGCTCCTGTCAACCTAGCAGTTCAAAAGCATACCAGCACAAGTAGGTAAATAGGTGCCACTGCGGCATGAAGGTAAACAGCATTTCCATGCGCTCTGGCACTTGTCACGGTGTCCAGAAGCCATTTAGTAATGCTGGGCACATGACCCGGAAAAGCTGTCTGCAGACAAATGCCATCTACCTCGGCCTGAAAGCAGAGATAAGTGCTGCACTCCACAGTACACTTAACCGTCCAGGGCTCCTTTACTTTTATCTTTTTTACTTTCTAAACCATTATAGCTCTATTGAGTGGAAAGAGGACAACTTAACAATTGCCCCAGCTTTAATACTTGGAATTTTGTTCTTTTTTAGTACCAAGGAATATAACATATATTATGGTAGCTTGTTATTCATTCTCTTCTAATGGTTTAACTTTGATGGTAGTAACATAGAGAAAGGCGGCCACTGGAATCAAGAAAAGGCATTGGTTAATGTTATCAAACAGAACCTACTCCTTGGTCTACAGAGATCTCAACTATTAATACCACTATATTCCCTATATAACTGCAAAGGAGGCAGCTGCTTATGTAAATCACCGAGAAATTGTAATGCAAAGGATCTATTGATCTTTAGGCATTGGGGAGAAACTTCTGAAAGTTAGCTATAACCACTGCGTGCACAGAAATTGTTATATTTTAATATGCAATGTTCTTACACATCTGCTATGAATTCTTTGGTAAATACAGATGGCAAGGATCTATATTTGGTGCCTGTCCTCCTGGCTCCTTCAAGCAAATCTTGCTTTGCCACTTCATAAAAATGTTTATATTTAATTTCATAACTGTCACTGGGAGGTGGGGAGGAAGTGTTTAATAATAACTTAAGAACTTGCTTGTGAGCATAAATGGCACCATTTTATAGCTTGTCTAGCTCTCTGTAACAATGAAACGAGTTCTGGGCTTGGATAGGATTTTTTTTAGCATGAACAGCATACAGAACAATTTGGAAGATTTCTTGTAATTGCTTGACATTTAATAGAACTGTGGCATGAGATAGAATGAGAATGAGACTGCAATACAAAGCCCAAAGCAGTAAAAAGACCAAATATCCTGTCCAGTAAACTGCATAAATTAAAAAGTCAGTATTAATTATCTTCTGTTGCATCCCTCCCTGTAAAAATACACTGAACATATTTTTGTCCTTCTCTTTGACAAGGGAAAAGAAAGACAAATGTGTCAAGACTCATTTATTTACTTGAGTACATATTGCACCCAATATCTAAAAATCTCTGAGATAGGAATGCTAACTATAAAGTAGTAATAATAAGAGATTTTCTACACTCCCTCTCCTAAAGGTTTGTGACCATCAACATCTCTGTATATTCCATTGACATTTGAATGTTTTCACTCTGTAGTGGAATTGTTTCTTTCAGCACTCCAGCAGCCTTGTACAAAATGAAAAATATGTGCTTGGTACAGTGTAGGATGTCCTTTGGAAAATCACTGCATTCCTTTTTCTCTAATCTGCAGAATGTCAGAAGCAACATTTGATACTCTCAGGTTGTGGATTATAATTCTCCTGTGTGCTTTGAGGTTAGCCATGATGCGTAGTCATCTCCAAGCCTATCTTAATTTAGCACAGAAATGTGTGGATCAAATGAAAAAGGAAGTTGGCAGAATAAGTACAGTTGAACTACAGAAAATGGTAAGCCTGCCTGAAAGAAAAATAGTGTGTATAAAACAAATGAAGTAACTAATGATATATTTAGACTCATGATATATTATATATATTTAAATTCATGGGTACAGTACTGTCCCATCTTGTATTTATAGTCAACCTGAAATGTTATCTGGAATCATGGTACTGTGACTTTAGGGACATTTAAACCTAATATTTTCTGGCAATAATTACTTCTTGCTTTTCATTAGTTCTGAAGGATATTACTGCAATTCTAATGGTTAGTTGATAGAGCAATTCATGACATTGTAGGAGGGAAACAGTGGTTATCAATGAAAATGGCTGTTTTGATTGAAGGCTAAAAGACAATGAAAGTTGCAATCAGCAGATCTATGTTTTTTTGCCTTGGAGAAATAGTTTAGTGCTATGGTAGTGGGAGTCCCTTTGATTATCAAGGGGTAATACTACTTTAACCAGACGAGTACCTGAATGGTAAATCTAATCCTAATGTAAACTATATACTTGCTTTTAGGGAGTGTTTAGGACAGAAATAGCAAACAGATTTCAAAGGGATCACTATTAAAATTGCATGGGTTTTCAGATTGTTCTGTTCAGTGTTGTGATTTAGTCTTTTACTCTATTTTGATACTATGTATGCTTTAGATTTCAGCTTGTGATTTTGTTACTGCATTCTTTCTTGTAAACTGTTCAGAAGGTTTTTCTGTTAAGTGATAGATAAATTGTACAAAATAAACTGTTTCTAGACTATTTGATAATACCAACAACTGTGCTTAATTGCTTGCTATGTGATAGTCATACTGCATTGGCTTGTGCACTGAGTTACTCAATATTTTTGTTAACTTAGGTGGCCAGAGTGTTTTATTACCTTTGTATAATTGCACTTCAGTATGTGGCGCCTCTGGTTATGCTGCTTCATATGACTCTGCTGCTGAAAACTTTAGGTAAGATGTATCCAATAGAGAAAAGAATCTGCTAAGTAATGCTGTTTTCTAAAATGGTATTATTTTGTTAAGTATTCTGGGAAGAAATGGCAAGCCAAGATGTTGAGGCTTGACAAGCATTCCTGCATGCTTCTGTGTACGTAGCTCTTATCTCTGTTGCAAATCCAGGAATAACTGGCAGGATGTGCATATATAAGACAGCTTGCAATTAGGGCAGTTCTTGCTCAACAACAGCTGAAGAACTGAATGTATCAGTGATTTTGCATAAAACTGTAAAGTAAAGGTAAAGGTAAAGGTACCCCTGCCCGTATGGGCCAGTCTTGACAGACTCTAGGGTTGTGCGCTCATCTCACTCTATAGGCCGGGAGCCAGCACTGTCCGCAGACACTTCTGGGTCACGTGGCCAGCGTGACAAGCTGCATCTGGCGAGCCAGCGCAGCACACGGAACGCCGTTTACCTTCCCGCTGGTAAGCGGTCCCTATTTATCTACTTGCACCCGAAGGTGCTTTCAAACTGCTAGGTTGGCAGGTGCTGGGACCGAACGATGGGAGCGCACCCCGCCGCGGGGATTCGAACCGCCGACCATGCGATCGGCAAGTCCTAGGCGCGGAGGCTTTTACCCACAGCGCCACCCACGTCCCATATGCATAAAACTGTAGAATAGTTATATTTTTGTGAAGGGCACACATGTATTTGTGCTTTCTGTCCATGAGATTCAAAATGCGTTTGTTGGGCATAACATATTACACTCCCACTGCCTCCCACCAATAAGTGCTGTTCTTGCTAGAAGGTATAAATCAGTTCTTAGAGACACAAAGTTTGTTCAATACAAAATAATTTTCATTGGGAACTAGAGTTGGGAATAAGGTGAGCAGATGTTTTGGTCATTACTTGTAAAACTGTAGGACAGAGAAGCAGCATTTCTTTATTAGTCTTCTCTCTCTTATTTATTTTTTAAAAAAAACTTTTACGTCATTATTCATAAAAAAAAATCAGAGTGGTTTATAATAATAGTATATAAAACCACACAGTAAAAACTGTACTAAAAAGTTAAAATCAGAAATCAGTTAACTATTGTGGAATTCTTAATTTCCTGAATAGAAAGGTTTTCAGCAGGCATTTAAAAGTTGAAACAGAAGGCGCCTCTATTGGTAGAGTGTTGCACAATAATGAGTTGATGACACTAAAGGCTTGGTTTCTTGTCAAATGAGCCTTTCTAGCTCAAGGAACAACCAACAACATTTCTGCAGACGATCTCAGTGATTGAGCTGGGATATAGGGGTTTAGGCAGTTCTCTTGAGGTACCTTGGACCTAAGTTGTTCAGGGTTTTATAAATTAATACAAGGACCTTGAACGTGGCTTCATATTAGATGGGTAGCTAGTGCAGAGGTTTTCCCCTTCCCAAGTCATGTATTCTTAATTTCTGAATCGGTGAATGCTGTCCTAAACTTAATTTTATATTTCAAAGCTCAGGCTTTGCACACTAAAAACAAGAAGAAAGTATAACTTGTGATTTTGGAGCTTGCACATTTGACTTCAGGGGAGATGTGCAAATTCCTGTTTCATCTGTTGCTGAGAGCACGAAAAAAGGAAATTAAGTTTGTATTGAGCAAAGCTGCTTTGTTCATCTTGGGATTCAGGTGGCTTCCATTTTATTACCTTCCAGAAACTGCTTCAGCTCTTTACACCGTGAGCACTAGTCATATCCTTGCTTATGGACATATAATTAAAAATGATCAGAGAGACTATAACCCTTAACATCTGTCTTACTTTCCTCCTGTAGGTAACTATTCCTGGGGCATTTATCCAGAAGCTACTTCAGATTTACCAGTGGAGAGCAGTCCACTGAGCAATTCAGTAAACTCTGAATCTTCATCTGATGATGGAAAGGTGAAGGTAACTGTAATACAGCTAACAATGGCACTGGCTAGCCTGAAGAACATTTTCACTCCACTTTTATTCAGAGGACTTCTGTCCTTTCTCACTTGGTGGATTGCTGCTTGTCTCTTTTCCACAAGCCTTTTTGGGCTGTTCTATCATCAGTACCTAACAGTGGCATGACCTAACAAGTTCAAAGCTAGGAAGCCCATGTGCCCAAAGGAGACTGAAGAAAAAATGGAAGAAATAACACGACAAAGTCTTTTTCATAAATGCTTTCTCCATGTTCCGGGCAATTGTTGGGTAATGTTGGAAATCGCAAACGAGTTTGTAACTTTGTTACCTAAAGTTGTAGGTAACTGCTGAATTGTTTTTGGACTGCTTTGAAATATGTCGGAAGTACCTTCTGTTTTGGTGAACTTCGTGCTGCCCTGAAAACACTGTGTTATTCAGTCATTGATTGGCTGATCTTAGTGGTGTTAAGGTACTAGGGTTAATAGTCACTGCATAGAAAATGGAACGTTCAACTGAGCCATATAAGGGGGTTGGAGAAGTTATCCTGTTGGCAAAAACATGGGTGACTTTTCTACTGAAGAGCAAAGTCATCCAACAGGACAAAGAAATACTGTATATTACAGTAAAGGAAGCTGTTTCAAAAGAGTTTATTGTAAATAAAATGCATGGACTCAGCAAGCATTTGTGCTAAAGGACTTGTTTACATATTACGGTAAGGGTATTGTATTGCAATATTGTGTCACTTGGTTACTTAATGTATGAATGTTCAGGAGTGTGCAGTTGTCAGACTTTAAAAGCATTTCACTCTTTGAGCACTCACATACTTGAAACGCATCTTTTAGTGGTTATAATGGAAGAGCAGTAAGTCATAAGACTGCAAGACTACGTGTACCTCACTCCTGCACATTCATGTATTAGAACTATGCAAAGTGGTATAATATGCTGAGGCTTCCACAGCATATGTGAGGCACTGTATCCTATAATGTAATGTGTCAGGAAGTCCTAAAGAATTTTCATATTGTAAAAGTAAATATATTGTTTCAGTCTTAATAGTCTTTTAAAAAATAATAAATGGCCATATGACTCCTTAGACGTATTGGTGCTAATATTTATCCACTTAGATCCATTTGGGTTTTACTGTTCTGAAATTAAGACAGATTTCATTGGATTCACAAGAAAGGTTGACACTAATCAAAGTCTCCTAAACTTATTTTACTATGTGTGTATAGTTAATAGATCACAATAGGTGAAAATATTGAAATTTCCCTATGAATGTGTACTGCAGGACAGACAAGCTTGGGAGAATTAATAAGGGTTATGCTGTGAAAAGATTCGTCAATGCCTTTAATTATAAGTAATCATAGCTGCAATGTCAATGAAAGCACTGTAGTTCAGGAGTAGCCAGTGAGATGCTCTCCAGATATTATTAGACTCCATCTCCCGTCAGCCCTAGCAGCATGGCCAGTGATCAGGGACTATGGGAGTTAGGAGTCCCAACAACATATTGAGGATACCGAGTTGGTTACCCTCTGCTCTAGAATTGTATCAGATTTTGTAATTTTCAGTGAGCCACCTGCCCTGCCTGGCTGTTACAATCTTGTTATAATGGACGCAGATTCTAGATGGTTCCAGAGTACGTTGCACTGTTGTGGCCACCTTTTTGCTATGGCACATATAATACTGTATAGCAGTAGCTGCTGTCACCAGACTATTAGCACCCTAGAATATGGTACCAAGTGCAATATGCAGAGTTAGCTCATGACAGCACCATTGATCACCGTATCACACTCGTGCAGTAATTGCTATGCCCCGTCCTAAGTGTTCAACTGTCGCAGTAGCTGTTGGGACTATGTTAACAAACTTTGCTAACCCAGGTGAAGAAACTCCAGCTAAAGCTTTTCATTTACTTGTCTGTATATTCTATGTCGGTTGACAATGTTCAGTTGGAAAGATAGAAACAGCAGTTGTTCGTAAAACTGATTTTTCTAGCATTTTGCTTGTTTTTGTTTCAGGAACTGAACTGGGCATTCATATAGATAAGGTGGAAGGATTTCTTACTGTAGCATGAGAAACAGCAATTCACAATAATCTTAACAGTTCCTCTACTAGTGTAAACTTGAAAACGGGAACTGCTAGACAATTTGCCTTAGATGCTTCTGCCTAACCAAAAAGGCAGTATTTCCCAAATGCCAGGCTCACCTTCTAAACTGATTGTCTCTTCTCTTTTATTGGACCTTAAACTTAATTCATTATACAAGCCTTGGTTCTCTCTGTGCGTGTGCGCATAGACACAGCACATAGAAACCTGAGAATTGCCTTGTGGCATCAAACTTGTCATCCACATGCCCCCAAGAGGTTTGCAATTAAGGCATTATGGAGACACCTGTCCCTTGTTGGTTGATCACATAATATGGAGGTTTCATTTCTCTGCCTTAGCTTCTACACACTTTTGCTTTTCTACTTCAGCTCCAGCCTGTTGTAACTTGGCCTGGAATGTCAGGGACTTGTAACATTACACCATTTGAGAAGAGTACTTAGTTAAGGCCTAAAACGGTACATTGTCACCTTCACTGCTGGTGTTTATGCACTTTATTCAGACAGAGAATGCTGTTAGGATTATAAATACTGTATCTCAAAGGTGATTATGCTGGTGTAGAGTAGTTAAAAGAATGAGTCCAACTGGTGGCTTATTGACCATAACAGAGTCACACCCTGACCTAAAGGGAGCCATACCAGTAGTTTCATCACTTGTACTTAAAAGAGAGAGAGAGAGAAGAGAAAGATGAATGTCTACCATCAAAAATTGGAATTCATTCCCATTAGCAGGGTGCATTTAAAGGATTGCAGGTCTGAAAACACCAAAGCTTAAGATTAAGAACCACAGAAAGAACTGTACAGAACAACGGTGAATGGTAGTAAAACTGATTTAAAAATCTCTTGTACATCTCATTCTGCTAGTAATTATAAACCTGCCCAGCTTTTTATAGGTAGGCAAGGTGTTTGTGTAAAGTACTCAAGTGTTTCATTCATAGACCTGGCTTGCATGTAATGCTTTGACAAACAATGACTTAGTGGAAATGTGCGGGTTCCTGGAGACAAGATTCTGACTGCTTTTCTCCTCCGGCACTGGTGCTTCCATTTTGCTGTGAACTAAAACATAGTTTGGCTTAGCGTCACATCCAAATCCAGGCAATCCAGGCTTGTGGTTTAACACAAGATGTAGCCGAGTTTTATTCTGTGGTATAACATTCATGATTTGTCTGGAGGAGATAAACCACTAGCCCAGGTTCATATGTAATGCTAAACCCTAACTATGGCTTAGCTCACAGCCGCAGGACTGGAAGAGGAGCAAAATGGGTGCATCCTTCTTTCCAGGATCCCACACATTTGCTTGTTCTCACTAAGACTTGAAACCTTTTTATGAAGTGCCCTGGCAGGCTAACACTTTGTCAGTGATGCTGTGTAGACTCTGTGTTACTAGAATACCGTGTTACTAGAATACTTCACTTTGACTCTTTGTATGAAAAGTGCACGTGTACGTAAGCTTTGCACAACTCACATCTGAACATTGCAAAGGCAATGTTTATTTGTTTAAGGAGAAGGAAAAAATCAGAATCCAAACAGTTGTTCTGTTCTGAAGTGTGGTATCCAGCCTGAGGGCTTAAAACAAAAAAATTAACGCAGTTTGGTTAGTTTAAATGATAGTAGGGCTTTATGGAATTCTGAAGGAAGCAATTTTTTAAAAATAATGGCTTGGATCCTAACACAAGCAAGTGAAAAGCTACAATCACACAATGGAGCTTTCTTATCTCTCACCCCCACTGCAACCACTTGTGCCTGAAAAGCCACTTTTGAGGCACAAGATCCTCAAATATCATGGTACAGGAGACTGCAGCAATAGAAATGGAGGGATATCACTTTGGCTTGCACAGCTGCACTTTTGGATCCAAATCATTATATCAAACTTGGCCTGAAAAATATTGGTGTCCTGTGATGGCTTCTACAGCATTGACCATCCTTCTGAAAAACAGCTGTGACTAAATAAATAAAATATCTAGGTTACAGTGGTGCTGATATGGTTCACCCAGAGAATGTTGTTTTTCTGCACATAAATGTACTCATCAAGTGATTTCACCATGCAACTTGCCTGCATATCAGAGCTTTCGCACTCAGGTTTCATAGAGAGGGGGTAGCTCTGTGTATGTGAAGGAATGTGCACCAGTGCCTCGATCAAAGTGAATGGGACACCTTGCTTGCATAGGATTTCCACATGCTGATTGGAGCATACTGAGCGATCTCGTGCCCATTTGTGCTATTGCACTTCCGATATGTATATGTGAGCTGGAGAACATGAAGCATGGAAAAAAGATTGCGAAGGAAGGAAACAGTATGGAGAAAAGCATTGTAATAATTGGGGTTATCAACAGTGGCTGAAACCCAGGTCTGTCTTGATAAAAATACATAAAAATTGGATTTATACTTTTAAAAAATGCAAGTTCAAAAATAATCTATGTTTAAAGGTATAGATCTTTCATTTGCTTGAATCTCTGATGTGACACACTATATAAATAACCCTTTCCGTGCAGTTGATGCCTTTAGGTTGTCTTTAAATGCTTGTTAAGCTATGATACTTCACAACAATTTCAAGTAGAATTAGAACTGGCAACTTTTCTGGCTTTTAACAGGTCCATCTATTTCTTCATCACTGTACCACCATGTTTGCAGAAACTTTACCAGCTGAATTTCTCCTTGTCATATAATTTGTTTAAACATAAGAGCTTGCTGGGGGAGAGGTGGATGTTGGCAACAGTGAAATACAGAATTAATCTTTCATTGCTTCATGATACTACTATACTTTTGCCTGTGACTAAGCTTGCAAGGCAGATTAACTTCATTTTCTAAAAATGTTGGGGGTAGCATAAAATTATACACCTGAGATCATTAGAAACCAGTGTCTTTTTAAAAAAACTTTCTTTTTTAGTAAAATGCAGAACCTATAGAAAAGATACTTTAAATTTTTCAGTACCGTAGAGCAAGAACTATCTAGTCCTTACAAGAAACCCATTACTTAAGCATCCCTGACCATCCAGCTTGTTTAAAATGCTCTAAGGAAGAAGAATCTATTGCCTTATGAGGCAATGTGTTCTGCTTTTGAACACTGTTAAGTTTCTCGTGATGTTTAACCTAAACCTTTTTTCTTGCAACTTGAACCCATTGGTTTGAATTCTACCCTCTCAAGCGCTAGAAAACAGATTTGATCCATCTGTGTGTCGGATAATGTCATCTTTGACATCCTTGCTGTGTGATCTCTTTAGAAGTGGGTGGTAAATTGGAACATTGTAGCAATGATAAGATAGACATTTAAGGCAGGAGCCACCTAACTTTGTCAGTGGAAGCCCTGAACAAGGACTTCTGTTTGCAGAATGGAGTTTCCCCCCTCCTTCCTCACACCCCCAGAACAGCGGACAAGTGGAAGAGAAGGATGATCCTTTAATTTGGCAAGCTGCAATTTGGCAAGTTGCAATGTGCAAGCTGCAAGCTGCAATGTGCAGATGAAATGTTCATCATAGTGTGATATCAACTTAATACTGTATGGTTTCAACTTAATCTTGATCCAATGCAAACACATCTGAATGGCAGAAAACTTTCTTAGAAGCCTTTCTGGGCTGTTGTGTGATAAAACCAAAAAGTAATATGAGAATTAACTTTTTGTTCACAGGTAAGAGAATACAAATTGCACACATAAACCAATAGACTGGATAATCACTAATTTTAAGTCCAGCTTTAAGTCCTAAATACAGTAACTGGAAGAAAGTCTCTCAGTGTTACTTGAAAGTAATCATGTTTAAGTCTTCAGCTTCTTATAACCAACAGACATCTCTATCTTCTTGGCTAACTGTTATTTTCTCAAAACCCACACACAGCTGGAGAATTCAGATGAGAAATGAGCTTCCCAATTTATTTATTTATTCATTTATATAAAAAACCTTTTTAGTGGATCAGTCTACAAATCAAAGTGCAGTGTTTGTAACTGGAACTCCATAAAATTAAGATTGTACTGATGGAAGCCCCCCCCCCAAGGGAAAAAAAGTCTCTTCTATACTTTGTCCATCTCTCAGTTCATTGCCCAATGCAGTTTGTGTAATATTCCAGTATCCATAGGGTAGGCTATACTTCAAAACCAGCAGCAAGTAAGAAGGTATATGCAAAAGGTGGGGGCCAGGAGACCTCTTCTATAACCTACAAATTTTTACACCATGTGTAAAGAAATCGTATTGCTTATTGCTATATTTTATGCCTGCAAATAAAAGCAATATATTAATCTGCTTTATATTTTTGCATGTCAGGCAGCACTTTACTAATAATGGTGGGAAAGGATAAGAGGTAGTTGTAATAAGGCTTGTAAACTGCTCTGTGCTCTGCAAGTGCTATAGAAATTATATCCCATTCAGTGTGTGTTGATACCAATGTAGTAAACACTGTGACTCAAGATTTGCTTTTTGTATAATTCGTCAAAATATTCTAGGAGGAGCTGGATTCTACAGTCTTCTCTGAAATGGGTTGCTGGCTAAGCACCAGCCATACTGGATTTATATGAATGTTAATGCCTACTGTGGATAGCAGTAATTGCATCAATAAGTTTGCCTCTGCAAGCTATCACTTCAGCTGGTGGGAAGCAATATCAATTACGCTGAATTTACTAGGCAATAGAATGTTCTTAGTACTGTAATGTTAATGTTCACTGTAACTTGACCATTTAACCTGTTTGTTTGTTCATACCATACACGTGGACTGTTACTGTATCTGTTCCTACTGAATTGCCCAGATCAGAAAAAGGCAATTTATTCAAACCAAAGATCAATAAATATGTTGTGGTGTTGACTTCTTTTGTACATGTAGAATGGATACACCTGCTTGGATAGTACCATTATTTGATTTGTCCTGTTTCAAAGCCCTTCTAAATATATTTTATGCACAATGAATATTTACGGACCAAATCCTTAACTAAAGGCATTGCTGTTTCACAGAAGTTTTCTCAACATAATCATGTGCTTGGCATCCTGAGATCAATTGTTGTTGTTGTGCTTTTTATTTCTTTGGAGACTAGCAAAATAATGCTTAAAGAGGGAGTTGGGAACTTAGGAAAAGGACCCAAAAGTGCAACTGGAGTCCACAGAGGAGGTATAGGAAACCTTGTTAGAGTTGTGTGTTATCAATATGTTCCCATGCTTTTCCCACTTCCTTATTTTTCCAACTTCATGGTACTACACTTTGTGGAATTTGAAAGGAACCATATTCCTTTGAGGGTCGTTGGGGGGGAATGTTGGTAAAGTAGTCTGCCTATACCTTTGAGATATTCAGTTGTTTTTTGTTTTCTTTAAAGACAGTATCAAGCTATTCCAGTGTATGAGAGTAGCTTTGCCATTTTTATGGACTCGGGGGGGGGGGGGACAGGATTTGTCTCATGGATGAGGTGTGTGTATATATAAATCTAATGTAAAAATATAGAAAGCAAAATATAAGAACCTAATTTAAGTTATAGGTTGGAAAATATAAGTTCTATAAATGTTACAACTGGACAAATGCATGAGTTTTATGAGGTGCTGATCACTGAAGCACTACAGCCCACCCCAAAGAGTCACAGCCTCCATAACTGCACATCCCCTCCATCGAAGAATCTGTATGCTCTGCTCTACCTCAGCTGAAATTTATTTTGAAGTAGAGAAACTGTACTCGGGGTTCAGTTCATCCAACCACTTTTGTTTTCCAGTATTGTCCTTATGAGAGAAACCTGTACCTTACTGTCCCACAGGGCTAGCAGGTGTGAGAACTGAGATCAATTGCCTGAGGTAATTTTTTCCCCCCCATACCACACACTCTCTCATGTCTTATCCAGCCCAATCTCTCTAGTACAGTGGTACCTTGGTTCTTAAACTTAATCTGTTCCTGGAATCCATTCGACTCCCGAAACCTTTCAAAAACCAAGGCACAGCTTCTGATTGGCTGCAGGAGCTTCCTGCACTCAATTGGAAGCCATGTTGGACATTCAGCTTCTGAAAAACATTCGCAAACCGGAACACTCACTTCCAGGTTTGCGGTGTTCAGGAGTTGATTTGTTCTAGTACCAAGGTACCACTGTACTATAATTGTCTCCAGAGCCCAGTTTGGGGGCAGGAAAGCCAGGGAAATAGTTGAGTGGCTGCCCCATAAGTGACAACTCCCCACTAGCATCTAGTGAGCAGCTGAAATAAACAAAGACGCATGACAGATGGCCATCCAACCTGTGCTTTAAAACCTCCAAGGAAGAAGAGTCCACAACCTCCCAAGGGAAACCATTCCACTGTCAAACAGCTCTTACTGTCAGAAAAGTCTTTCCTGATGTTTAGTTGGAATTTCCCTTCTTGTAACTTGAAGCCACTGGTTCGAGTCCTACCCTCCAGAGGGTAAAGAATAAACAACAGCAACAACCGTAAGTTAAGCAGAAGAAAAGCAAGCATTAAAAACTATTTCTGTCCCAGGCTAAAAGCCTGGGGAAAATAAAGAGATCTTGGCCAGGCAGCAATATAGTTGTCAGGTGGGCCTCTCTGATGAGAGCTCTCAAAAAATGGGGCACCACCACTGAGAAGGCCCCTCTCTGCTCGCCACCCACCTCACAGCAGGCAGTGGAGGCACTTTTCTCACCCACTGTGAAGTTTGACTCACCCTAGCAGGCAGGCTGGGAATATGGGCCACGGTAGCAGTGGGGGATGAGAGAGATGATCTTCCTACATAATCCTTCTCTGCCCTCGAACTGTTAAGGGCCATCCAGAAAGCACTGCTGAGCTTATTGCATCTTCCACTGATGCCTAGGGCTGCCTCTGCAGTTCAGTAACGAACCGTCTGTATATTTCATTCCAGCTATTCAGCTATGAAGGATTTCCTTTCGTGACAAGCCCATGGGATCCCCACAGGCTTCTTTAAACTGGCAAGCACAATGCAAGCTTGGGTGCCTAGGTGGAACTATTTGAGTGGGTGGGGGGGAGGTGAGGGAGGAAGAGAGGAATTTTTTTTGATTAGCTTTAATAATCAGGAAAGGGAAATTTTAATTGAAGTGCTTGCAATTCAACTGACAGGTTGAGCGTGCCTTTTGATGCTAAAAACGGTTACAAAATTAGTGCGAAATACTTCGTCTCAACTCAGTCACACACAAAAACGGGGAGGTGGGAGAGGAAGTAAGCACATTTAAAAATTGATTAGTGCTGCACGAAGCTGTTCTCCAGAGATTTGAACTCTTGTGCATATGCCCTCCGAGCTATCTGGCTCGTTGCTGCCTTTGCCCATTTAGTCTGCAGCTGCCTCACCTTGTTGGTTTGTGCTGACCTAGTTTATCTGATTACTAGCATTGGCTATGGCAAAGAGCATTGTGGGAGGAGGGAGACCTTGTCCCTAGGACCCCTCTGGCCTCCAGCTCAGCAGTTTCCTCAGTATTGTGATGGACCATCTTTGGGGCAGAAGCTGATCTGTGTGGTGAACTGGGCTGAGTTTTCCAACACAGGGAAGGAAAGTCTGTCCTGTTTACACATTTTGCAAAAGTCGAATGAAAGAGGCTCTTAAAACCATTCAACAGATGAGATGTGTTTTGGTTTGAATATAAGCAAACATGAGGGACTCGTGCACAACATACACATTGTATGACACATGCAGCTTCTACTTGCCTGCTCGCATAGCATATTGGGAGATTCTGGTATTGCTGCTGGCTGTACAACTTGGTATTGGGCTGTAAGACAGTATTGTGCATTATTTCTGCACACTGCTGAACTAAAGAAGCAGAAGAAGGGGTGGTGGTGGTGAGTAGGGCTGAGCTATATATCAAGATACAGTAACTTCCAAAACCAGTTTGATGTCCATATAGTGATATTGGTTTCATAATTTTTGGCCCGGCAATATATTGTGAATCATGGTGTGGGTGTGTGCTGTGCAAAAATCAGAATGTGGGAAAACTGTGAAGCAAGCCAATGCTTCTCTTGATTCCTGCAGCCCCTGTTAACTGCTGGCTCAGCTCTCCCCTGCCAAACGCAAGGAGCAGTGAATCCCAAGAGCAGGCACTGAGAAAAATCACAATGCAGGAAAAACCATGAAGCCAGCCAATGCCTCTACATAGCTCCATCCTTATTTCAGGCATCGTGATGTATTTGTAAATTGCGATGTTTAGCTGGTGATATATCATGATGAAAAACCAGATACTGCCCAACCCTAGATGTGAGCATGACCTGGGGGTAGATGTCAGCCATAACCACATAACCTTGAACAGCATCTACGACTTCACATTCAGGAGAAGTTAGGAACTTGAGAAGCTGCTTTATACTGAGTCAAACCCACTGGTCCATCAAGCCCAGTGTTGTCTACACTGAGTGGCAACAGGATTCAGACAGGGTGTCTCTCCCACCCCTACCTAGATATGCTGGATATTGAACCTGGGCCATTTTGCATGTAGAAGAGATGTTCTGCCACTGAGTTACGGCCCCTTGTATTACAGGAATTTGTTAAGATACCTCCTTCCATATTGTGTTGTGTGTTGTGTTGTAATAGGTCCATGAAAACACCTCACGGACCTGACTTAAACATCATATAGTATTTTGCCTATTGGACAGATGCTTACAATCCCTTAGCCAGTCGCAGAAAATAAGAATAAATTTGGTGTTCAAGAGCTTGGGTCCTAACTAGGCTTCTGCTGGCAGGAGCATCCCAAGCACTACTCCACGCATGGGATACTCCCACCACTGGAATGGTTGTGATGGTACTGGGGAGAGGGGACTCAGCAACTCCCCTTTCCCTTTCCTACCCCTTGCTCTCTATGAAACTCTGCTCTGGGGGGTTGTGGGACCTGAGCTGCATGAGAGGTGACTTGGGAGGATGAGAGGAAAGCATAAGAAGAGCCCTGCAGAACCAGGCCAATGGCCCTTCAAGTCAAGAATTCAGAGGCCTGTGGGAAAGTCCACAAGCAGGAGCTGAGGGCAACAGTGCTCTCTCTATTGGTGATTCACAGCAACTGGCATTCAGGGACATACTGGCATTGCCTTCTCCTGCTCCCCCACCCCAATCTGCTGGTATGATCCCTTGCTGCCTGTGAATGGTGGGAGGCTTTCCATTTGCAGACACCAAGTTGGAATCCAAGCCATTATCTCTTGAAAACTTGCTGCATTCTGATGACTTCTGGATATAAACATGGAGATGGTGTGTGGGATGCACATGCGCGACTATCTTATTTTGACCATTTTTTTGTGTGCTCGGTGAACAAGAACAACAGCAAGGTGTACATGTGCGCGCCTGAGGCAATACAGAACAATTTCATTCCTGAAATGGAGGAAGCTGATTACTGTCATTTTGATGCTGTGCCTTTTTATATACATTGGTGGTGGTATGGAAAGACACTGGCTTGGAGCACGGCGTACTTTAGAGTGCTTTGAAATTGTTGAACAACTACACATTTTACAAAGTGCTCCATTTTGCTGCTGACTCAAGTAGCATGGAAACCAGTGAACTGGCGGTTGTGTGCACAGAAAAACTCACTGCCACATGAAGAACTCCAACTCCCATCTCAAGTTTCTGCCAAAGGCTTTAATGCATGAATCAGATGGGTGCATAGGCAAGGTACAGGTTTCAAGGTGTAGTAGGGACACAAGAGGTATATAGATACATGGCTAAGCACAAGCTAAGCTCCAACAAGTGACATGCCCCCTGCACCTTCCTTTTGGGAGGCACAACTCTTAGCATGGCAAGCAAACAGTGTCCTGGGACTCTGGGCAAGCAAACAGGCACTCCTTCAGGTGGGTTGGATTTGCAAGGTTTGTTCACGCTGGCATCTTTGTGTCCATGGAGATAGACATGTTGTTGGTGCCAGCGCAGCATCAGATTTATTCACATTCAG